CATCTTGTTTTTTATGCGGTATCTTGGACGTGCTCTGTCAGTTTTCATTCAAATTTGGCACATACATGTACTTTTATTCATGTTAGGATGCATGTCCATGATAATTTGTTTCAAAATCTGGTCAAGGATGGCCGAATGACAGCCATCTGACTTTTTGGCCTTACTACTATATTTTCACAATTTATGTACCATTTCCATTCGTATTTGGCACATATAAATCATACATATCAGTGTGTTTCATAATCATATCAAAGATGGCCGAATAACGGCTGTTTTTATTTTTGGCCATATTACTACTACATGGAACACATGTTTTGATGTATAAAATAAACAATCTGTTGTATACGCCACTTGGAACTCAAGTTTCAAGGACACGCTCGCGACAACCCCTCCGCTTTAATATGACGAGCACAAAGAGAACTTTCAAAAATTTAACGGGAACTGTGTAATTGTCAATGACTTGTTTTATACAGTGCATGAATGCTGATCTGTGTGTATGTGTTGTTTTAGAATCACCAATGCCAGAGTACAAGTGTAATGCAATGTAAGTGTCCATGTACATCGTCTGTTTCTACAATATATGACTTCTGTGATGGTGCATTCACATTGACAAGGTAATAGCTTATAATTGAACAAAATAAGTAATATGCTATTATGGATATGCTGTGTCAACCAATTTGTCAACAATGACAAAAACAATTCAAATCAAAAACAATCACATGTCATACATCCTGTATTGTTAGTCTGTTTTTTCGCAAGTTTCCATAAGAAATATATAAACGGTACTTCTCATCTATGTCGTTCATACTATCTTGAACAGTAATCACTCACCACCATGTCCGCCACCAGTTGAAGGAGAGTTAGATATACAACTATCATCAACAACAGGTGCGGGTAAAGACAAGATGAGAAGAGATACTGGCATACCCAGCTGCTTCGATCCACAATGCGAAAGTCGAGACTCATACAAGTATGTAATTAGACACGTCAACTCTCGAGTCCCCCTATTTTTTACAACCAACAGGGCTTCGCGCCAATCGGCGCTCGCGAACTTGGCCTTCGACCAACTTATCGCCCCCCCCATTCCAGAATCCTAGATCCGCCCCTGAGAACGATCTACCCAGTTACGATCTGTTCCACAGTAACCGTAGTGATTTCAGTGGCATTCTAATAAGTGTACCAGGTGTGCATACATGGTTAGTCAGTTTGGACTTACCCCCCCCCCCAATACATACATGGGTAGCAATGGAACCACTGGTATGAAATACGAGTAATGCTGCGTCTGATGAAATGATATTGTACGTACATATTATCAGCGGGACTTGAGTTGGAATGACTGCATAATATACAGTGGCGAGATTGAATAGTTAATAAGATAGATATGTCTTTATGGATTACGTCTTTACTTTATTTCCAGTGATTGTTTTGGTATTATAAGTTGTGCATGGTGCAATGCAGACATCTCTGGCAATGATTTAGAAAGTCCGTATTGTACGACTGCTAATCAATTTATAGATGACTTATGCGGTAAGTCTTACTGCTTGTAGCTTAACTAATGACAGTGTAGCACCAATCGAAATCGAGAGCTGTGCATAATTATAATCGAACTTTAAATAATATTCATTGCTGCAAATATTAGACAACTTTGTTATAGTGAGGTTTGTTTTGTTATTTGTATGTCTGTTTCATTGCATTATTCACTAGTGTTAATTAGACAACACGTGTAACTAATGTATATATGTGTTTAATCTACATAGCGTATAACCATCCAACCAGTAAGCCTATAACTGAACCACCACGTAAGTATTAACGATTTTGTGATGAGTTATTAATAATATCAGTGATTGAAATATTAGTTTTATGTGTATGAGATTGTTATACTGTATGTGACATGTTTTCTCTATAGCCCTCCCAAGTGATATGAGTAAACGTGAGGGCGGTGGACTATCCGGAGGTGCCATTGCCGGCATAGTAATCGGTGTGTTACTTGCAGTGGTGATCATCGGTCTCATTACCCGGCGATTTATACGGAAAGAAAATGAACGGAGAAGTGAAAGAAGAAGAAACAATCAAGAACGATCAACATCGGTTGATCCGGAATACACACCTGTCCCATCAGCTCCTCCCCCGCCAAATGCGCCCCCACCGTCCAATCCTTATATCAACGTACCGATGACGTCAATAATGACTCTGTCAAGGGATCAGCTTTATCCGACAAACTCCGTTACTTTTGCGTCGGTCGATGACGTCAGCGTGCCTGCAGCAAATGTTCCTACCGATGACGATCTTAACATTCATGACGACATTGGTGCTAATTCAGATGGTGATAGTCTCAATGTCCATGCAAACAACAGAACTGTCGATAATGGAAACAACGAGAGTAACGATGTTGTTGAAAATGGCAGTGGTACTTCTGACGTAGATCAACAACCACCTCCATCCGTGATATCACAATCCTCGAACAGTGAAGCACCCGCAGATGGTGACTTACAAAGGGAATCGCAGGCTTAAATGCCATGTTTTTAGTATAGTTAGTTAGTTAGTTAGTTGGACGATGATGTTTTTGTTTGTTGTTATTCTGTTGTTGTTGTTTAATTTTAATTGGATTCTACTAGGTTGGATATATGTTAGATATAAGTAACGTATTAGAGACTTGACACGAGTATTGGCGGCATATCGTCATAATGCCAGAACACGTGACTTGTTAGTGTGATAGGAATGCTCCCGTGGACGAGTCAATGGAGTTTGTAGGTAACTTTAAATAACGAGTCTTTGCTTTCAAGAATGTGTATCTATTTTTCTCAATTGTCCTACAAGGCTCAAACTTGTGCACAAATTTATGAAATGTATGTTCAGTAAGTATATCTTATATGGTTTTGTGATTACTACCTTCTCTTTTCTTATATAAAGCGTTTTATTTAAAGTGGAGGAGAAGTCACCTGCGCATGCGTCAGATGGCCATAGCGTGTCATTATTTATAGACAAGCCTTAGAGTTTCTAGCGTGTGTCGCGCGTGCGCAGGTGACGACCCTCCCGCTTTAAAGGTAACTGGGATATTGTTGACTACTTATATAAAGATACCACACAAACAATTTGTGGCAAACGCTCCTCTTCTATTATAATATCAATGACGTCATATCTACCTAGCTTTCTTTTACATGAGTCATTTGTATTGTTTTACAACATATATACAAAAATGTTTGTTCACAGGGAGATTCGATCAAACATTGTTAGCCCAGAATACTTATTAAATGTTCATTGAATCTAAATATTGTTGTTCTTTGTTAGCATTAGCGAATATTGCTTTATCATGTATGGTACAAATTATATTCAGAATTTTGTAATTTTTAATAGAATAGAATGTGGCTCAGAATGATAAATTCGGTCGGTTCTATTCCGAGCCAAGGTATTACATTGTTGTAACATAGTAGAAATACAGAAATGCTGTAAAAGGCATTAGGAATGTTGTTTTATGTTTATATATATATTAAAATGGAATAAAAAATCATATATGAGTTTGTTGACATTTATACGGCACATCATTATTTTTGATAAAGAATATGTATCAAGTAATCCTTCCAGTCAAATACGTATCCAGCTTTTGTTTACATTGCATTATGGGATAGGGGCTGGGACGTATTATGGGATAGGGGCTGGGACGTATTATGGGAATGAATAAGGGATTAGAAATATAGCACAGATACGCATTTACCAGTAAGTGGATCGTGTCCACATAAATACGTAATTTGCTTAATTATTGTGATAGTCACAAGTGTGCTCTCTAAACTGTTATGGTGAATCGCTGATGTAAATTAAATACAAAACTATATTTTTTTCTTTGCGCACTACTGATAGCACGCAGCTACCCTGCAAATGAATATTGAGCTGAGCCACTTGTAGTATACTACTATAGTCAGTGTCCATGTGGTAGTAAAGTGCGGGACAATAAGACAATGTGCGCAATAAGTATTGTACAATAAAATGACATTTAATGATATGCACCCCAAATTTGTAAGACTATGTTAGGCATACACAGCAAAAGTACAAACATTGCAGTTAGAGGAGAACTTGTGTGGTCTTTCTTACTGTAACAGTTAAAATTAATCCGTAGTGTTCTTTGAGGGGTACTTTAATTAAGACAGCATTACGAAATAAAAACAAACAAACTTAATAAAAAATTGAAACAACTGTATGTAATGTAAGAGTTTGTTAATTTTTGTATTACAGTGGTTAGTGTATGGAAGAACCAAGTCTAATGAGTCAGTGTATTATTCACTATAACAAGTAATTAGAGAGCTGTATATTTACCTGATATAAAACATAAATACTTTCACTGTGTATTGTACACACGTGATTGCCTTTTCAAATTTGCTTTTGATATGAACTTTGCGGTGTTTCTATTAATTTTTGATATTTGAACGCCAGTCACATGAAATGCAATTAGCCGTATTGTGTATAACATGTTTATCATAAAGTAAAAAATGTAATAAAAAGTGTATCTTTTTTTGACCTGGTCTTGAATACAAAAAATACATTTCTCCTGCGAATAGCTTCACCGCATTATCTTCCACTTTCAATACGAGGCGATACAATTGCACTGGAAGGGAGCGAGTATTATCTAATTTAAATATAAACTGAGTTATATATTGATAAATACGTAATTTCAGTTTGATACAACATATATCGAAATATTCTACACTATACCAAGCCGAGATTGCAGCTATTGAAAATTACATATACCTCTAATAAAATAGATATCAATATCACACGCCAAAAAATGTCATACTTAAAAAATAATTACATGACTTGAGTTTTTCCACAAAATATTTGTTGACATCTTTTTTTTCATACTTAAAATACATAAATTGTTTTCAGAATTTATAACAATGTGTTTGTTTACTGATTTGAATATGTAGTTTAGTGTAGTGTGTTTTGTTCAGTTAGTTTTGTTTTGTTTTCTTTTTTTGTTCTTGGATTACCCTATACGACTTCTGCATACAGATTTTCACTTTTCATACATACATATTAACTTATTTCTACAATATTGTCATGTTTTCATAGCGTCTGTCCCTCGGAAAATTACCGCCAGGGATGACGTACGGTTTTGCACACCCCAAAAGCAAAGCAATAGTTCATTATTGTCATAACACAATTGTCAAGTGTGGTATAGGTATTGAAATCCATGTATGTGATATTTCTAAATTTTCTCTGACAATAAAATAACCCTACTAGGTGGAACTGAAATACATTACTATGACAATGTATGAGACCACAAGGCGCCCTCTATAACACCAGTCAGTCATACACAAAATGAAATGATACAATTTGAATAATATCTCAATATA